AATGAAACGATATATGATAGGATGAATGTAAAGCTAATGTTCTCCCATGTAAACTATCACATAATTCACAATAAAACATTAAAAAAAAAAAAAAAAAAAGTACCCTTCCATGTGAAATCAGTAAAAAGAATGTACAAAATCAATATTTTTTAGATGGTTTTGCAGACTTTCAGAAGTGCAAGGCAGTGATAGTTAGGAAAGGAAAAACAAATGATTACTCGAGATCCCTGCCTTGAGAAAGTTTCAAAGTTTCAGCAGCTTAGACAGGAGGATCCATTCAGAATGAACAGTCTCCATGAGTTGAGCTAGAGTTTGGAGTATGGAAAGGCAACTGGCAGCTCAAGAATTGAGGGCAAAGTCTTCTCAAAACACCACACTGATTAGCACATGTGTGATGAAACTATGCAAGGTGAGGATAAGAATCCAACGAAATGATTAGTGGGAACAACCTCCAGAGTTCACACAGGCCTGGGTATAATTAGTGCTCCCAACCAGCACAATGATGAAAAACCTCATAATTACAGGGCTTCAGTGGACTGTAAATATATTGCCTTAGTACTGAGGTGGAAGAAATAGCTCTAGACAAAATATATTCTGCTACTAACTATAAAAACGGAGTGAGGTAGCTCTGTTAACCACAAGGTCCACAGTGTTAGCCCGCCAGCTGCTCGGTGAGAGAAAGATGAGACATTTTTGGTCTGGCAAAGATTTACAGCCTCGGAAACACTATACAGGGTCACAATGAGTCAGAAATGACTTGAGAACACTGAACAGCAACAATCAGAAAGCTTAAAAAAAAACTCTCCAAAAGGTCAACCAGTTCAAAGTAACCCTGTCAAAAACAAAACTCAATATTTATGTTGTTTAAGTGCCGTCAAGTCGGTTCTGACCCATAGCAACCCTGTATAGGGTTTTCGAGGAGCAGCTGGTAAGCTTGAACCTCTGACTTTGTAGTTTAAATAGTTTTGTAGTCTGACACATTAACTCACAGTGCCACAGCAAGGCTCCCAATATTTATAGGAATACAAAAATATCCAATGACCAACAAGCTAAAATTTGTATGTTTTATAAAAAATTAAAAGTTAATGGAGATATAAAGCAGCAAAAAAAAAAAAAATGGGCACATTGTAAGAAGTACAATCATTCAGCAGAAACATGCAAGCATAGCACATAAAAGAGAGTTTCAAAAATAGGTGAAAATAATTTTAAATGTTAATGAAATGTATTGAATGCAGTTATTACTAAATGGAGATATGGTACAACTTTAAAAAGAAATAAAACTGCTGTTTTTCTCTTTAAAAAAAAATTGGTGAAACTATGGAATTGAAAGAAAATGGAATTTTTTCACAAACTTTTTAAAGTACCCTCCTATGATTCAATTAGCAAAGGATTACGTAGGTTTGATTTTAGCCCATAAAAAAACTTAGGGGAAATAAAAAAGGATATTAAGTTATTATAATTATACTGTATATGTTCAAAAACATGAAGAACAAGATGAACATGTTAAGAGACATTAAAAAAAAAAAAAAAAGCAGATCAAATTGAACTTCTGGAAATGGAAACTGCAATGTGTGAATAGAAGAATTCACTGGACTGAAGACCTGTGCAACTGAAGAAAGGGTGTTAAGACTATCCAAAGGAGTAAAGGGGGAAAAGGCTAAGAAAGGAATAAACAGAGTCTCAACAAGCTGTAGGACTTAAGTGGTTTAATTTTTATATGTAATTGGAGCTGTAGGATAAGCACTGGACTACTAACCACTAGGTCAGTAGTTCAAACCCAACAGCCATTCCTCGGGAGAAAACGGAGGCTTTCTGCTCCCATAAAGATTGACCATCAAAAAATTTAAATAATGGCCCCAAATCCCCAAATTTAATTAATGCTATAAATTCATAGACCCAAGGGGACCAAAATAACCCCAAAAAACAAAAACAAAAAAGAAGAAACTGCACTAGTAAACATCATAATCACATTGCTTAATATCTTAAAAACAGTATAAGATTTCCACTTTCAGCCATAATGAACTAATGATAACAACAGCTTTGAAGACACTATACAAAACAGAGATCCCTGAGAGATAGGAACGAAATCATAAGTAAACGTTAGGACTGCTCAGGCTGAAGGAAGAACACAAACAGGCCAGCACACTCCCTGAGTAGAAAGATTGGAGATGAAAGGATGCAGAGATGAAGAGCAAAGAGCTACATAGAAGTTCTGGAGATCTACAGAAGGTCCCACTGGGAGATTCACCTAAGTACTAATCAGTGCATGCACCGGGGAACTACACAAGACTGGGAGAAGGACCATTCAAAAAGGATTACAGGAAGCAGTGCTCTCTCCTCACATACGGTTAGGAATCATGTCTGTTTCCACTAGCAAGACTGGAAAAAAATCTCATGGTTTACATGACTACTGGGAGAAAACTTACCATGAGTCTTTCTAACTGAGCAAAAGCACTGACAGTCTTTCTGCCAGACAAAATGTTCAAGGATATGTACACAGCAAAAGTCCATTGGAGATAAAAATAGGATCTCCGTTCAAGGCAGATGGCAGATTTTCTTTGCTATACAGGTTAATAAAGCTTTCCTCTGTAGCCAAGTTTGAATAGTTTTGCTTACAACTCATTTAAAGGACTGGATCCCTATGCCTGAAATTCCTTAGATATAACTCAAACCCTCTGTATGCACAACATCCAATTTAGCTGACTGGCATCATCCCATGGGACCTGGGATACAAACGTACCTAACTAAACATAAAGCACATGTTTTCTGATATACTGTGAATAAAATTCCTTGTCCTTCATTTAAGAGTTCTATATCTTCTCCCAATATCCATTCAACTGTGGTAGGCTAATTTGACATTGGGTAGAGCAGAAGCATCT